CATCAATTTTAATTACTAAAGGGCAGCTAACCATTAATTCCTTAAGAGAGTATTAAGGTCTTACAAAAGAAAGCTTTTACACTTAAAACCTTTTAAAGGTTTATTCAAAACCAACCTAAACAACTATGTGTACGCCCTCCAATTCTCTACACCAGTCCCTTCATAAAAGAAGAACTTTTCGAACATATGCAGACACACGGTTGATTTTTCATAAGGTCTGATAAATGGTGGATGGGCAGGTAAGGACTGAAGATCATGTAACTACCACACAGGTCATAGAGATAGTGGAGTGGATGAGAAGAATGTATGTATTGCCTTTGCAGAGTCAATAAAACACAAGTAAACATCTCTCTGGTATTCTCTGCTTTGAGTCAAGATCCATCTGACATCAGCAGTGATCTCCTTGTTCCATGTCGTCTTCTGAGTTCAGCCTAGACCTCTGGCAGCTCCCTGTCAATGTAGTTCTGCAGCAATAGTTCTAGTTTGGGTCTTTTGTTGGGTCACTTTTCTTGGGAATGAGCACAAATACGGATAGTTCCTAGTCATCTGGGCAAGTAGCTGTCTTCCAAGTTGTCTGACATAGATGAGTGACTGCTTGCCGTGCTTCATCAGCCTTTGAGACATTTAAAATGATATTCTGTCAATTCCTGAAGCCTTGGTTTTGACTAATGCTCTCAATGTAACTTGGAGTTCTTCATTCAATACCATTGGTTCTTGATCATATTCTGTCTCTTACAATGGTTGGATGTTAACTAGTATTTTAAGAGACAGATACTCAATGTATTCTTTCAATCTTTTTTTGATACTTCCTGTATAGTTCAATATTTTGCCCATATAATTTTCCAGCATTTCAATTTGAGGCTTGGCTTTTTTTCTCCAGTTCTTTCAGTTTAAGATAGGCTGAGTGTGTCCTTCCCTTTTGGTTTTCTAACTCTAGGTCTTTGCTCCTTTCTTTATAATCTTCCACTTTATCTTCTCAAGGTGTCCTTTGAAATTGTTAAGCTATTTCACTTTATCATTTCATCAACTCACCTTATTGACTCTACGATTAAGAGCAAGCTTCAGAGTCTCTTCTAATGTTCACTTGATCTCTTCTTCCTTTCCTGTCTCTGCTTAATGACCTACTGCTTCGTTCACGGAAGATGATCTGGCTGTCCTCCCTCAGCTCCCAGGTCTTCTGTCATTAGTGTTCGATGCGTCAAATCTGTTTTTAAAATGCTCTCAAAGTTCAGCTAGGATATGTTCAAGGTTGTATTTTGGCTCTCGTGGGCTCCCCGCCCCCTCTGTAACATCTTTATTTTATAATAAATAATGGATGATGGAAGAAAGAAAACAAAGATATTTTATATGCTTATGTTCACATATTTGTAAATATGTATATATGCACATGAGGAGTTTCAAAATATAATGAAAAGATCATGGATTTCCCCCACAAACGTTTTCAAGTACCCTCTTACACACACACCTGTGCATATGATATAACAAGGGTGAAATATAACTGTTACAATCCTCATTATTCTGTAACCGGTCTTGTGATTAGTGCCATATTTATAACTACCTTCTCCCAGTATCCATTTCAGGTTACCAGTGACATCCTCAGTAACCACCTTTCTAAACTGCCAGAAGCAACTTGTTATGAGGCCATTTCACCTCGAAGGCAATTGCTTGTCTCTGACCTTGGGAAACGTGTATTTCTCATACAGACCTTACATTTAATGATTTGGTGTAGCAAACATTTATCATTGTCTATTATTTTCCAGGTACTGAGTGATTTCTCCAGTGAGGTGGCTGTTCATGCTACTCACTACCTACTATGATCTAGTTAATTCCTGCTTTTAATATCGCATGCTTATAATAAAGTTACACATGCAGCTCTCCTAACACTACTTTTGTAGTGGTTAATTCTTTTCTACTACAAATCCCTTTGTGTGGTGCTGTGCAAGGCACTGTAGAAAGTCCGTTGTATATATTTGGAGCCATGGAGACTAGGTGAATCCCCTGCTATGATTGTCCTGAGATAATCTTTCAGCCTTAGGCCTAAGCTACCCTCTGAAGTCTTAAAAATCAAACAATCATTTTGTTGTGCTGGTGAGGGCTTGTTTTAATTTACTTTAGCTTACATATGAACAACTGACAGTCTGTTCCACAATTGGCCCTT